CGTGCTTCACTCTGTGGGTCTGAGGTGCTTCTTCTAGGGGACGGGTCCCCAGCTAAAGGCCAGGAGGAAGGAGGGGGATCCCTGGGACACGTGGAGACCTGGCATGCCATCCCTGGGCGCTGCACAGTGTGCCATCCTTCCATCGTGGGAATGATTTGATAGCAGACATGCCCTTGACCCCTTCCAGGTATCAGGAGCATGGCTAAAGGTACAGACTTATATATCACTGAATGGGATCCACTTTTAGAGGCACCATGATAGAATTGACACTGGGTCCACAGGAGCTAATTCTACTTGGGGAAGAGGGGGTGGAAAGGGGGCAGGGAGAGTTTCACGGGTGAGATGTCTGCAGAAGACTTGGGACAAAGCAGTAAAATTAGTCTAAAGGGCTACTTATACTACCCACCCCCCCACAAGGTGGAGAGAGCAGCCTGTGCAAGGGCCCTGGGGTTTAAAAGCACTGTGATGTCCGCCCAGTTGGGTGGCATGAAATTCATCAAACTGTTGTTGCTTTATGGATGGAGTAAGGTTGGGGTCAGCTGAGAGATGAGTGGGCTGCCCTTCTGGGACGCTGAGCACTGTGTGTCTCCCTGCTCCCAGCACAGGTTGGAAGATCACGGTTTTTGCAGAAAATGTCTCAGTGGCTTTCTCTCCCTGAGGAACATTGTCATCTGGGGTCTAAAGAAGAAGATTGAGCCTCTTCGTGCTCCCCATGTTTGCAGACCAGCCAGAAGGGTAGCCCCTCCCCAGGTCTGGGGGCAAACGTTGTGTCCCCTGTAGGCTGGCCCCTGTGAGCAGAGCTGTCTGTGTGCCAGGCCCTGCTGACCCACGGCCTGTACGTGTGGATCAAGACACCCCCAGGCCGCCTCTGGGGCCACCCCAGCAGGGCCGCGGGCATCTGCTCCCTGGCCTGCAGCTGGGGCTGCAGTGGGAAGGCTCCTGGCTTCCTGCTGGTTCTTTCCTCATCTCCTTCCCCTCCCCTGGGGCATATAGGGGAAGGTAAATTGGGGGAGTGGGTCTTGTGCCTTTTCTGCTGTGTAATTTTGATGGGAGATCCTTGGCCTCTCTGAGCCTCAGTTTCCTCATCTGAAAAGTCGGGACACCACAGCCTGCCCCCCCGAGTCTGTTACAAGTGTGAAACGAGGCAGGGTTTGCCTGGAGCCCACCGAGCTGGACTTGGGACTCAGGCAGCTGGCTGTGGGGCAGTGCTTCAACCTCTGCAGAGGGAATCAACGCGGGCAAGTCCTGTGGGGTGCAGGGGCGCCCAGGAGGCACTATTTCAGACACAGCACTAAGTGACTTGCCACTAAGACATTTTTTTTTCTCAGATGTGAATAATTTCTGAAATCTGAGTGTCTTCCGAATAGCACCCCTGTTTCATGGGCACTGGCATTGCATGTGTTTATTGGTGCCCAGGTGCTTGTGGGCCACCTGGGAATGCAGCAGAGAAGGAGACAGATGAAGCCCCTGGCTTTGTGGAGCTCACATCCATGGTGCGGGGAGGTGGAGAGAAAGGAATACATTAGCAAGATTATGTCAGGGAGCCATGAGTTCCAGAAGGAAATAAAATAAGGCAAAGGGAGAGAGAGCAACCAGGGAGGGACCTTGGGGAGACCTGCCCTGGAGAATTTTGGAGGTAAGGATTCTCTAAGGAGGTGACTTTTGAACTGAGCCCTGAAGGGGGAGAATTAATACAGGGTCCAAAGATAGGCATCCCCGGCTGAAGTTGCCTGGGCAAAGGCCCTGAGGTACAAAATAGCCTGCAAGGTTGGCCCAATTGGGTGGCTTGAAGCCAATGAAGGTGTCACTTTACTAAGGAGTAAAGTTGAGGTCTGCTGAGAGATGTGTGCTCCCCACCACCCACACCCCCAGCTCAAGCTGTGGCAAGATCTGCTGAGAAAGCATTCCAGGCAGAGGGAATGGCATGTGCAAAGGTCCTGAGGCAGGAGGGAGCTTGGCACATTCAGGAGATGAAAGAGGGTCAGTGAGGCTGTTGCAGAGTGAAATGAGGGAGGGGGTAACACTCAGAGAGGTTGCCAGGGGCCACGTCATTACTGGATCTGTAGGCCTTGGGGATGAGTTGGGATATATATATATATATGGTCTCTCTAGATGCAGTTATCAGATCAGTAGCGGCTTAGAATGGAAGAAGGGGGTTACTTCAGCCCCGTGTGCCGTGTGCTTTCAGTAGAGGCTCTTGGGGGCCCCGGGGAACCAAGTCTCCTCACCCTGGGGAGCTCAGGGTTGCTGTTCTATGAGGTGAGGCTCCCAGGGTGAGGGGTGTAGAGGCAGCTGGAAACCACTGGCTGTGTCAGGGGAGCTGCTGCTACTTCAGGAGGACAAGAGAAAAGGGAGAGGGGGACCTGGGGAGGTGGCCAGAGGCCGGCCACTAGGGCTGCACTTCATCTGAAGCTGAAGGGCAGAGCCAGCCTCAGACAAGCTGTGTGGCTTGTACAGCACCTAGATTTCTCTGTCTCTGTCTCTCTGTCTCTCTGTCTCTGTCTCTGTCTCTCTGTCTCTGTCTCTGTCTCTGTCTCTGTCTCTCTCTCTCTATATATATATATATATGATTTGCAATGTTTAAAAACCAGGATTTAAAATAATCCAGAATTCTGACGTGCTTGAACAATGGGAAACCTGGTAGCCCTGGACCCACATTCCTGCCTGACAGGCCCCAGTTGGAATTGAGTGACAGCTTCCCAGTGTCGGGGGCCTGTGAGGTCCATCGTCCACAGTCTCCACCATTCCCTGTTGTCTCCCGCCAGCCTCCTTTCACTCCTTGGTCCCTGGCCTGGTCCCTGAGGGCAGGTGAGTTTATGGTTCTTGCTGGGGGCAGTGGGGAGCCACATTAGGGGTGAACCATTGAGGCCAGAGTGGCGACTTGGAGAAGATGAGGGGCGCCAGGAGCCCGGGGCATGGTGATCACCACCACCCTCCCTCAGGTGCCTACAAGTCTTGAGCCCAGGCAGTGGGCACGGGATGGAAGGATGGCGCATGCCAGCCTCCAGCCCAGAGTGGTTTCATGACGACACTCCGTGAGTTTGTCTCCTTTTCCCAGGCTGTCTCCATCCCCTGCCCCATCATGCCCTTCTAGCTGAGCTTTCATCCCACAAGGGACCCCTTCATGTCTGGATCAGACTGTCCGTAAACTGTGCCGTAAAGCTGGCCGGAAGGCTGTCAGCAGTAATTGAAGGCTTTCAACACGCCCCCAACCCCAGGGCCATCCCCTGCGCAGGAGTCTCCTTCCTGGACGCGTGGGTGGCAGGGAGGCCTCTGTACGGTCCCCAGGGCATCGCAACCCCTGCATTCGCCCCACGCCTGCATGGTCTTTCTTCCTTAGTCATGAACCACTGACCAGGGTTCCCGGTGACTCAGCACTCCGTTGCCGACTGTGGAAACCAACGTTCCCCAGAGCTTTGCAGAAGGAGCCTGTAGGGCCCAAGATGTCATTTCTAATCTGGGGTCTGCCCTGGCTGCACTGTGGAGGGGGCATGGAGGGAGCAGAGTAGCATGGGGCTCTGTGGGCCTCAGTGCTGTGGTCACCTCTACATGCTTCTAGCTACTTCTCTCTGCTCGCACCTGCCCTTGTGTTCTTGCTGGGTGTGGCCTTCTTTGTGAGGAAAGAGTACTTCAGGGAGAAAGGGGAGATGGATGGCTGCAGAATGAGGTGGGCACTGGCCGCATCTCAAGGCCTCCCAGGCAGCAGGCCTGGCTAGCCCCATTATACAGAGGGGGAAGTTGAGGCTCAGTCCCACAGTGATGCAGTGTTGTTTCTGAGCTTGACAGGCAGGAGTCCTTGCCTCCACTTCAAAGTCAGCACTGTCATCCCCTTGCTCCTCTGTGACATGTCATGTTGAGAAGGCCAGGCACTGAGGTGGGCTGGCGGGGGGCTCCCTTCCTCCCCCACCCCGACTGGCCATGTCTGACTGGTCCTTTCTGGTGGAGTGCTGGTCTTTGGCCTGGGCTCACTGGGCCCTCTAGTCATCTTTCCAGCCCAGCTGGTGGCAGGTCTTCAAGGGGGAACAGAAAGGCGTTTTCTACCCTGTATTTCCCTCCCAACTCATGCTTCAGCTATGAACATGCTTTAAAACGTAAAATCATCCCCATAAATAACATTTAAGTACCGAGGGCCTAGAACTCAATGCTTGACCTACAGGTTCCTGAACGTAACAGCTGTGTGACCTTGGGCAAGTTTCTCAACCTCTCTGTGCCTTGGTTTCTCATCTGGCAAGTGGGGGTGGTAACAGTGCCATATATTGAAGAATTTAACGTGCACAGAGTCCTTAGTGCAGGGCCTGGCACTAAGTCAGCTTTGTGTAAGGCTGTGGCCACCATACTTGACCTTCACAGAAACCCTGGAGATTTGTGCTGTCATTGGGCCCATTTTCTAGCTGAGGAAACTGAGGTTCAGAGCAAGTAGTGACTTCCCCCAACGTCAAGCCATCACTTAAAAATCTCAGGAAATAATAATGCCACTGAAGGGATCAGGCAGGGTGGACTGGCACAGCCGCCTGCCCAGGCACACTGAGGGACCACGCCTCCGTCCCCTGCAGTGACAAGCCCCCTCCCCAGGCCTCCCTTTGCCTAGGATCCAGCTCCTCCCCAGCCCCCAGACTCTGGGGCCGCCTGGGGAAACTGTTGTGGATCTAAGCCCTTCTTGGGAGTCTTCCCCTCCCAACACCCTCTCCCATAAGGAGCCATCTTAGTCACACACACACACCCCCACCGCCCCCAGTTTCCAGAAGATTCTCTATAGGAGTTCAAAACAGCCCTTGGACCCCTTTGAGCCCTGCCCTGCAGATGGCCTGATGGTCATGCGACCCGGTGTGGCTGGATTCCACAACGGTGGTTAAGCGTTATTTATTTCCTTAATGCACATGTATACACATACAGCTGTCTGGAAGGATTCCTGGGCTCGGAGGGGGTGTGAGTCAGGGCTCTCGCAGCACGCCTGCACGCTGGTGTCTGGGCCTACGTGAGCCCGCCCGTGCATATCAGCATTTAAAATTTAACAGCTTTATTATGGAAAATTTCAAAAATGTACAGAAATCAAGAGGTCCAGACAGTGATTCCCTCATCCCCACCCCTTGGCGTCATCATCAGCAATGTTTTGCAATCTTGTTTTATCACCTCCTTGCGGGCTCCCTCTCTTGCTTTTTTCCCTTTATGGCTGGAGTATTTGAGAGCCAATTGTAGACATCATACCATGCGTGCCATTAAAAAAAAAAACAAAAAAACCACACTTTTACTTCTGGGATAATTCTAGAGTCGCAGGAAATTGCTAAGACAGTACAGCGTGGTCCTACATACCCTTCACCCAGTTCTAATGGTTACACCTCACATAATTATGCTACAATATCAAAATTGACATTGGTAGAGAACACGCGCGTGTGTGTGCATGCGTGCGTGTGTGCATGCATAGTTCTGTGCCATTTTGTCATGTGTGTGGATTCACTTCACCACTATCACAATGAAGACTAGAACTACTCCATCATCACAAAGATCTCCTCATACAGTCACACCCGCCGCCCTGCCCCTGACCACCTCTGACCCCCTGGCAACCACAAATATGGTCTCCATCTCTATAATTTTGTCATTTGAGAATGTTATATAGATGGAATAATCTAGCATGTGCCCTCGGAGGTTGGCTTTTTTTTTTCCACGCAGCACAATGCTCCTGAGATCCATCTGAGTTGTTTTGTGTGTCAGTGGTTCCTTCCCTTTTATGGCTGGGGAGTAACCCACAATGTGGCCATGCCACAGACTGCTTAACCGTTCACCTCTTGAGAGGCGTCTGGGCTGTTTCCAGTTTGGGGCTATTCTGAATAAAGCTGCTGCAGGTTTTTGTATGGATATAAGTTTTCGTTTCTCTGGGCTAAATGCCCAGCCAGGAGTGGGATTGTATAAATGTCTGAGTTTATGTTTAGTTTGAGAAATGGACAAGCGCTTTTCCCAAGTAGCTGTACAGGTTTATTGTTTGGAAGAGAGGCACCTATTAGGAGGACCCCAGTGAGGCTGCCCCAGGACCCTGAGCAGCCTGTGTGCTGTGCTAAGTTCCTTTCCCACAGGGGGCGTTTAGTCCCCTCTTTCCAGAAGAGACAGCCAAAGCCCAGAGCTAGCAAGTGGGAACATCAGAATTTGATTCCAGCCCCGTCTGGCTCCAAAGCTGCGGGGTTGGTACCCTCCCTTGCTGGGTGGCAGGAATCGGTTTGGAATGCCTTGGGGAGCGAGCAGTGAGCAGACCAAGGGAGTTGGGGAGGAAGAGCCTGGCCGGGGGAGCACAGACCCTGGTGAGAGGAGGGGAGACAGAAACTGCCCACTCTCGTTGCCAGGCTGAACCAGCTCCCGCCTCCTGGCCTTCACACTGGCCCTTCCTCTCTCCATCACAGATGGGGCTGTTGATCTGTTGCTAACTGGGTCTCCTTGGCCCCAGTGGGTGGCCCTGCCTTCCCTGCCATGTAGGTTCCTGCAGGAGGGGACTCCCCCCCAGCCCCATCTGCGCGCTGGGACCTCCAGCCTTCCCCTATCAGCCTGAGAAGGGTAAAGCACAGAAGACCTGTTCTTTGCAATTCATCCTCCCCTGCAGCGAACTCTGAGCCTCTTTGCTGTGCTTTGGTGTCATGAAGATGCTGTTGGTGGCGAGGACGGCAACACTTACGGTTTCCCAGGCACTGTGGCCGGTGCTTGAATACGCGATTTCGTGTGATGGGCATGACCACCCTGTCGGCAGGCTTCATCACCACCGATTTAGAGAGACGCATGCAGAAGCTCCCACAGTTCACAAGTGGCAGAGCTGGGAGTCAGAACAGTGCCCTCTGACCCAAACTTGGGCATCTCCTGGCTAAGCCAGTTAGGACAGCCTGTCACCAATTCTGCTGAAGGAGTCTTATCTTTTGAGCCCAGGATGGGCGGGGCTGGGGCTCTGAGAGATCTAGACTCCACATGGGGGGTGGGGGGCCCGTCTTCCCAGCTGGGGGTCCATGGTGGTCCAGGTGGCAGTGCAGGGGCCCTAGGGATGAAGTCTCTGCCCGGCCCAGGGTTCCCGGCCTGCCCTTCTCCCCAGCTGGCCACTTCTTACCTTCCTAGCTGTGTGAGCCCAGGTAGGTGACTTAGAGTCTCTGAGCCTCCTTATCGCCTCCATGTGGGGAAGTCAGCCTTTCCCCTCCTGGGCTGGCCTAGCCCCCAGCAGGTTCCTAACCTGGAAAGTAGACAGTTGTTAGAAGGAGGACGAGTGGATTGGCATGTGAGCCCCCTGCCTGGGATCCCAGCCCTGGCCCTGGTCCCAACACTCACTGTAACCCTGGACAAGCCACTTTAGCTCCGGGCCTCTGTTTCCACTTAGCAAACATGGCTACCACGACAGGATTGAGCTGACTCGTGACGGCTCTTTGTGGACCATGATACACGACATAAATATGGAGCTTTTCTGTTCTATCAAACCACAAGTCTAGGGCTCTGTGTTTTTCCTTCTGAGCCTGCTTTGCTTTTGTGACTCCAATTTCATTTTTTAAAATTGAGTTGGGCAAGTATCTTTCTCATCAGATCACATTTTCTGTACACTGGGGGAGTGGGGAACAGAATCCCCCCTCTGTGTGCTGGCTTTGAGTTCACTGGCATTTCCTGAGTACTTTGAGTGCCAGGCTCAGCGCTGGGGATGGAGACGGGAGCTGGGCATGGTCTCTGCCCGCCAGGGGCCCACAGCCCACTGGGGGGTCAGGAGTGAACAGACCATCATGACACAGGGTGGTCTGTGGGGGGAACCTGGCAGGCCAGGTTAGGGAGAGGAGGACCTCTCAGGTGACTTCCTTGGGACACAGAAGTCCAAGATGAGTCATAAAAGATTGAGTGGGAGATGGACAGGCAAAGAAGTGGAGAAGGGTGTTGTAGGCAGAAGGAACATCACAGGCCAAGGCCTGGAGGTATGTAAGTGCAGTCACACGCCCGCCCACTTCTCCATGAGTCCCAGCTGTGTGAATTGCCCACATCACCGTCCACAGCGCTTTCCCTGCTGGAGGCTGAGGTTTACTGTAAGACGGGCTGCTTCTATCATGCCCAGTCGGCACCTTGGGCCTGCGAAGTGTCTTTCTCTATCCTTAAAGATTTATGACTCCATCTGTCTGTTCATCCATTCAGCCACCCCTGCATCCGTCTCTCTGTTCGTCCATTAGTCATCTATTCATCCATCTATCCGTCTTGTCTGTTTATCCATCTATGCATCTATTCATCCATGCATCTGTGCATCTATCTGTTCATCCATCCATGCATCCGTCTGTCTATCTGTCCAACCGTCTATTCATCCAGCCAGCCAGCCAGCCATACATTCAACAAGTATTTATTGAGTGCTGACGACATGCCAGGCCCTGCTGGGCAGAGCCTTCTCTGGGGCGGGGCAGGGCAGGTGATGAGCAGACGTGAGCTGAGGTTTGCTTCACTCCCTGCCGGAACCCTGCCCAAGACGGGCGCAGACTTGCCCCTGGAGTCCCTCCCTCCCCGTCCTGGGCTGCCTGGTCTTGTTAGGAGGGAGGTGGCCCTCGGCTCCCAGCTTGGGAAACCGTCCCTGACAATCTGCTCTTGAGAGCGTCACCTCCTCAGACGAGGGTGAGGAAATCACCCCAGATCCCAGATCCCAGACAGCTGCACACACCCCAAGGATGTGGGCTTCCTGCCACCCTGCTGAGAACCCCACCCTGGCTGCCTTTCTAGGGATGTTAACGCGGGCTCGCTGAGTCACTGCTGATAATGCTTTCAGCTTTGTCTCCCTGCCCCAGGCCTTTGTGTTTCCAGACAAAACCCTAAAGGCTCAGCTGCCCATCCAGCATATCGATAGCCCATCCCAGCTGGTCCCAGAGCCTCACAGCAGCCGTTTTAGTTATGTGACTTAAAGCAAGTCCCCAGCAGTAGTGCTTGGGAAAGCCAGAGCTATCACGAACCTCCCTGTGGATCCCTGCTGGCGTCCTGAGCCCAGAGGTCCATGACCTGGGCTCCTATCTGGCCACTCAGAGATTTGGAAAATTTGAGTCCTGTTTTAAAGTAGGGCCATTTCACACAGAAATGTGAACATCTGGCTTGTCCTGTAAACGGGAGGATTGGCCAACACTGCGCCCAGGTGCCAGCCTACGGGGGGACGGGGGCTGGGGCTCAGCAGGACTGCACGTTTAGGGGAATGTGGACGCCCTGGTATCCTGTTTCATGATGGAGAAAAGCGTGGAGAGAGGCAGGACTGAGTTGGTCAAGGTCAAGAGAGAAGGGCCAGCGCTGCCTCCTGCAGGTGCTCTTGGTGACCCCTGGTGTCATGACGTTGCAGGGTTGGGGCCCACTGGGGTGGCTTTATTTCAGCTAGAGGGCCCAACCATTCCTTCTGGGAGGGGTGAGCTTCCTGTAAGGGAGTGAGTTCCCTGTCCCCCAACCTGGTGATAAATCCATCCTGGGCCGAGCATACAGCATGGGGAAGGTAAACCTCAGAAGCAGGGTCAGAAGGGACCTCCTGAGGCTTTGGGGTGTTGTGGGCCTAGATCTCAGGGGGCAGAACTGTGCTCCCCCACTTTGAGATGGGAGGTGGGTTTAGAGTAAGACAGGTGGGCTTCAGAGGTGCTCTGAAGATGGGCCTGGGGGCTCTGAACAGAGCACCGTCTGTGGCTGGTAAGGGCCAGAGCGGTACCTCCAAGCCCCGATCCCTGGGTACATGGGGTGAAGCCTGACTTGGGCAGCGTGGATGAAGTTTTGACCCTGGGGGCATCCTGGTAAAGTCACTATAATTTGGGTGCGTCATGGAAACCTGACTCTGTTATCACGGGCCTTGTCTTTGGGACATAATTTCTCTGATAAATGCTCGTTGCGTACCCACTTTGGGGGTCCTCAATTCAATCAAAACACCATTCTTGCCTCAGGGAAAACACAGTCGGGGGCATAGGGAAGGCTTCCTGGAGGAGGTGGTACCTTGGTGGGAGTTGAGAAGGATGCAGTGAGCATTTAGCCAGGTGAAGCCCAAAGGAGAAGGGGCCCAGGCAAAGGGAACAGAAGGGACAAAGGGAGAAGGCACTGAGGCATGATGGCTCCCAGCCTGTTGGGGACAGGAGGACTGAGGTGAATTGGCGCCGGGGACTGAGGCTGGTGCAGTAAGTGCTCATTGGAGGCTGGATCAAAATGGCCTTGTCAAGAGGCTCACGAAGTAGGAGCTAGAAATTGACCCTGATGCCAGTGGGGGGCAATGAAAGGGTTTTCAGGAAGGGAGCTGGGTGCGTGTTATAGAGCCCTCAGCTGGGTATGGAGAGTAGAGGGTGGGAAGCACCACTGCGATGCCGAGAGGTGGCCATGGGTGGTGAGGAGAGGCGAGATGCGGAAGAAGGAGCCCTGGGGACCACTGACCAGTGGGGATGTCTCCTCTCTGGGAGGTGGGGACACAGAGCCAAGACCTTGGGAGTGACAGACTCGGGGGCAGTTCCCTGGAAGCCTCTCTCCCAAACACCCTACGAAGAGGTCCTGAGATCACTGGTGTTACCAGGTACATGGTGTAGGAGGCAGGGAATAGTTTAGATCTGAAGGATGATGACGCGCGCGTGTCGAGGGGAGAGTAGAGGCATCTTTGGCAGATGGCACAGCATGTACTAAGGCCCTGTGGCCACAGAGACAGAGAGGAGAAGGGCCAAAATGTGGCCTGAGTGGCCGAACAGGGAGCGAGGTGTGAGATGAGGTGGGAGGGTACAGGCGCCAGACCACAGGGACATGGGGGAGCCACTGAAGTGCTTTAGGTGGTGACGCCATCTGATGTGTCTGCCATGGTCACCAGGCTGCAGGAGGTGACATTCTTAGATCCGTCCAGGAGCTGGAGGTGAAAGGTGAACTCATATGACTCCCATAACCATAAAAAATCCTGAACTGCATATACATCATATGTATTCATTTCCTTGGGCTGCTGTGACATGCTGTCACAAACAGGTGGCTTAAAACAACAGAAATTGGAAGAAATACTGTTCAGTGTTAAAAAAAAAAATAAAAACAAAGAAACCCAGAAATTGTTTTGCTCGGAGCTCTGGAGGCTAGAAGTCTGAATTAAGATGCTGGCAGGACCACACTCTCTCTGAAGGGCTGTAGGAAAGGACCCTTCCTTGCCTCTTCTAGCTTCTGGTGTTCGCTGGCAATCCGTGGTGTTCCTCGGTTTGTGGCTGCACCCCTCCTTCATCACATCATGGGTCTTCTTCCCTCTGTCTGTGTCTCTTCTTATACGGATCCCAGTGATTGGATCAGGGCCTATCCTAATCCACAGGGACCTCATCCTGACCTGATTATATCAGCAAAGACCGTATTTCCAAATATGGCCACATTCACAGGTCCCCAGGCTTAGGACGCAGACATACCTTTTGGGGAAGGACACAGTCATCCCACAACGTCAAAGGATCCTGATTTTGTTTCGAAAACACACACGTGGTCACTCATGTTCTGTTTCTTGACGTGGATGCTTGTGTTGCAGGAGTTTTCACTCTGAAAATTGAGCTATACATGTATGATCCGTGCATTTTTCTGCACATGTGTTCTGTTTCAGTTAACACATGAACATATACACACATGCCGAGAACGGAGGGTGGCAGCCACTGTACCATGATGTTAATAGAGGCTTCCCCTGGGTGATGGGTGTATGGATTCATTTCATTTTCTCCCCGGATGTTCCAAATTTTCTGCCATAAGCATGTGTTAACCTTATTGCATAATAAATCCATGTGTATCATAAAAGAAGAGCCGGGATGGAACCCTTACTCACCAGTCCTTCCCTGAACCCAAAGCTATTGTAACAGGAGGTGGGGTTTGAACAGGAATTTGGCCTGCCCTTAGAATCTGTTCCAAATAAATATTTTTAGCCTCATTACCCACTGCCTTCAAATGTCCTGCTTATGAGTTGTGGCTCTGATGATCCAAACAGACGTTCTTTGGAGCTTGTGGCTTGGCAGTTACCTCACCTGTGTCCCCTTCCGGAGGGAGGATGAAGGTAATAATAGAACTGACCTCATGGGTGGCTGGGAGGCTTCATTGGAATAATGCACGTGAAACCTTCTGCACAGGGCGGGGCTGCCACGAATACCCTCCTGATTAGGAAATGCCCAGGGTACGGTGGCAGGCATCTCGGTGTCCTAGTTTAATGGTTCAGCTGGTCAGGGAAAAGTCCGGTAAATGAAACCTTGCCCCACTGCACATGGTCATCCCTGGGGAATGGTCGGGGGTGATGCGGGCCTCCTTTCGCGGCATGCTTTCCCGTTTTGCCCCGTTTTAATACAGCTTGGTGCTCTTCCCCCGCTGGCCTCCTTACCTGTTGCAGCTGTGTGCTATTTCATCGCATTTAAGGCCATGCGCTGCCATGACGGTTAAGTCATCACGGGAAGATTTAGAGGGGGCAGGTGGGGGTGAGGTGAGAAGGTGGCTGGACTAGAAGAGCCAGTGTTGGTGGGGCGAGGGGGAGGGGCTATTCTTTCTGCCCTCCAGACCCCGCCCAATGCCATAGGCCCCATCCACTGCCATGGACCACGCCCCTGGACATGGTGCCTCGCCAGGCCTTCGCTCCACCCGACCCGCAGCCCGAGGGCTTTGGAGTTTGAGCTGTGCCTTATTTGGAACCTGGTCTTTCCTTTGGTAATATCTGTCCATATTACAAATGCAGAAACCCTCTGTCCCAGCTGGGCTGCTGCCCAACAATAATCCTACAAATAAACTGGAACTCCTGGGACATTATTTATGTACAAGTTATCCTTTGCAACATTGTTTGTAAAAACCAGATACTGAAAACAACCTAGACCCTCCATCAGTAGGGGGCTGATAAAAGACACTGGCCCACTCCATATAAAATGGAATACTGTACTCTGCTGTTGTAAAGAACAGTGAGAAACTGTCTCTAAGCTTTATTAGGTAAGGAAAGCAAGATTCAAGACAGTATATAGTATATACATCTTTGCATTAAAAAAAGGGAGGGCTGGGCTTCCCTGGTGGCGCATTGGTTGAGAGTCCGCCTGCCGATGCAGGGGACACGGGTTCGTGCCCTGGTCCGGGAAGGTGCCACGTGCCGCAGAGCGGCTGGGCCTGTGGGCCATGGCCGCTGAGCCTGGGCGTCCGGAGCCTGTGCTCCACAATGGGAGAGGCCACAACAGTGAGAGGCCCGTGTACCGCAAAAAAAAAAAAAAAAAAAGGGAGGGCTGAGTATATATTTGTATCAGCTAATATTTGCATGAAGAAACTGTGGCTAACCACCGAATGACTAAACGTTACCTGTGGAGGCGGGGGTGAGACTTAGTGGTTGGGGCACACGGGAAGGGGAAGGGACACAGATTTGTTCATAGCCTGTTTTCTTTTTTGGGGACCCATGTGAACGTTCTAGTTTTCAAAATTGCTAATTAAAAAGAAGAAGTAGCATCTTTGAAACAAAGCACATTTTAAAGCAGCAGCTTGGGCTCAAGTGTCCCATTGCATCTCACTTCAGCCTCTGATAGCTGTGTGACCTTGGGCAGGTTACTCAACCTCTCTGTTTCAGTTCCTTCATCCATGAAATGGGGGTAATAGCAGTTCCAACTTTGGGCTGTTGGGAGGATTAAATGAGATCAATGTGCCCAGTGCCTGGCATGCAGTAAGCGAATAACAAGAGTGAGTTGATGGTGGCAGAGGGTCGGCTTTCTGAAAGCAGCACAGTTTGGAACAGGCCCCAAGAAGCAGGATGTGAACTCTAGCGCTGCTGTGAGCCCTCTTTCTCTGGTGTCTGTGTCTTCCCTCTGCCGCAGGGGCCCTGGCCTGATGGGAGCCACTTGTTACGTGACAGTGCAGTCTCCTGCTTCCCATCCCCTTGCTCAGTGCAGGCAGCATGGGGACATCTCACAGCCCTGAGTCCTGAGCGTGCATCTTCTGGGAAGCAGGGAGAAGGAGTTGAGTTCAAGCATGTGAGGATCGGTTGGGTTGCTGTGAATAGGGACTCAGAGTGGAGAGTGCCCTGGCTCTGGCCTCCTGCCCTGTCTGACCCATTGGCTCTGCTTCCTGGGGAGCATAAGTGTGAGGAGCCCAGGGTGTAGTTCTTGCATTGAACCCCACGACTGCCCACAGCCCTCATGCTGCATGGAGGATGCCAGCAGAGAGGGCACCGCCTGCCCAAAGTGGAGCCGTGAACACAGAGTGAGCCAGACTCCAGCCCTCGGGTCACAGACCTTCTCACCTCCTGCCCAGGGAGGGTTTTTTCCAGAAGGTTCTACCCACCATGGCTTTGGGGGCTGGTTTCATTGACTAAACAGCCCCTGTGCCTCACTTTGTTCACCTGTGAAATGGGGGTGATTGCCCTCCTGCCTCCTCTTCTTGAGGATAAGGTGAGGCTGGCTGTCACTTTGGAGGGACCAGGGGACCTGTGCCCTCATCTGTGTGTCTGCCTTTTTTTAAAAAATTATTTATTTATTTATTTATTTTGGCTGTGCCAGGTCTTAGTTGCAGCATGTGGGATCTTCGTTGTGGCACGTGGGATCTTTAGTTGCGGCATGTGGGCTCATAGTTGTGGCATGCAGGCTTCTTTGTTGCAGCATGTGGACTCTTAGTTGCAGCATGCGATCTCTTAGTTGCAGCCTGCATGCGGGATCTAGTTCCCTGACCAGGAATCAGACCTGGGACCCCTGCATTGGGAGTGTGGAGTCTTACCCACTGGACGACCAGGGAGGTCCCTGCCTTTACTCAGTGGAGAGAGTCCTGAAGTCCAAGTCAATGTGGCTTCTGTCACGTGACTGCCTTTAAAGTAAAGTGGACTTGTCTACTACATGTAGACATGTAAGACACAGCTCCAGACTCAGGTGTCTTGGAATTTGAGTTTTGTATAAATTCGTTCCATTTCTGTTGATGCCTCCATCCTGCCAGGCTGGTGGGAAAGTTTAGCCTTGGTTTGTCAGGGCTAACCCACCTGTGGGAGTGCATGCTGGGATGCACGGGGCGTGTCAGTGGCCCCTTGAGATCTGGAGGTTTGGAGCTGCTTGGAACAGGACCTTGTGGTCAGGGTCATCCGTTTTCTCTCTTGTGGTCTCTCTGACACTCAGGAATCAGAATGGGTGTCCCTTTCTCTTCTTCTTCCTCTACTCAGCATGATCTTTATCCTATTGCTTCCAACATGTTCCTGGTCCAAACATGGTGGCCTGGCCTCAATTCCCTGGAGGCCCAGAGGGCTAGAACAGGGGTTGGCAAACTTCCTGTAAAGCACCAGGTAGTAAATATTTCAAGCTTTACAGGCCGTAGTGTAATCTCTGTAGCAACAACTCAACTCCGCCCCTGTGGGTCAAGAGCAGCCCCAGACAATACATAAGCAAACGGGCATGGCTATGTTCCAATAAAACTTTATTTACAAAAATAGCATAGCAAAAGAAGCAATCAACTTGGGAAACAGTTCAAGAAATTAAAAACAGGGAGATTGGGATTGACATATCACAGTACTGTATATAAAATAGATGACTAATAAGGACCCACTGTATAGCACACAGAACTCTACTTAATGCTCTGTAATGGCCTACGTGGGAAAAGAATCTAAAAAAAGAGTGGATCTATGTATAACTGATTCACTTTGCTGTACACCTGAAACTAACACAACATTGTAGATCAACTCTACTCCAATAAAAATTAAAAAACAAAACAAAACTGGAAGTGCCACGTGATCCAGCAATTCCACTTCTGTGTATGTATCCAAAGGGACTGAAATGAGGATCTCGAAGAGCTATCTGCAGCCCCATGTTTGTTGCAGCGTTATTCCCAACAGTCAATATATGGAAACAACTTAAGTGTTCACTGACAGATGGCTAGATTAAGAAAATGTGGAATATACGTACAATGGAATATTAGTCAGCCTTAGAAAAGAAGGAAATCCTGCCATTTGTGACACCGTGGATGAACCTGGAAGACATGTTGAATGAAATAAGCCAGTTACAGAGAGAGAGATACTGCATGACCCACTTATATGAGGAATCTAAAATAGTCAAACTCACAGAAGCAGAGGGATGCTTGCCAGGGGCTAGGGTGACAGGGAAAGTGGGAGTTGCTGTCCAGTGGGTATAAAGTTTCAGCCGTGTGAGACGAATAAATTGGAGAGATCTGCTATATAACATAGTGCCTGTAGTTAATAATAATGTATTGTGCACTTAAACATTTGTGAAGAGGTAGATCTCATGTTAAGTGTTCTTATCACATTAAAAAACAAAAACACACAAAAACCCCAAATCAGCCTGTAGCTGGCTGCTCCCTGGCCTCGACCTTTGCAAGCCAAAGCCTTTATGTAAAAACCCAGAAAGTGTTCCCGAAGCCCCGTTGTACTCCTCCTGGAGGCCATGAGCAAGGGCAGGCTCTTTGCTTAGAAAAAAACGAAAAGGAGAAAATGCCCAGAGGATTGAGACTTTCGTAAGTCAAGTACTCCCTAATTTACCTTTCGGTGGGGGCGTGGGGGCGGATACATTTTCCTACAGTGATTTGCCTAAAGCTACCTGTGATTGATCTGGGGTCATCAGATTCTCAAAAGCTCTTTTGTGACCGTCCTCAGTTTTGGTAAGTCCCAAGCACTCCCAGATGTGTGACTAAGGCCTCTCAACGAAAGCCAGTCTGAGATGGAGTCCTGGTCACATCACTTTCTGCCTTTGTGACATTAGGCAAGATACCCTGCTTCTCTTTGTCGTGGTTGCCTAATCTGTAAACTGAGGAAAGCCACACCACCTCTGCTCAGGGTTTTCCCAAGGCTCACATGACACAGTATCTGTCAGATGCCCGGCACCGAGCCTGGTGCAGGTGGGTGTTTAACGAATGGGAATTGACAACCCAGCCTCACGTTCTAATTATCTTGGGGAGAGACTTTAAGGCAACCAGTAAGAGAGATGCTTAGAAGTAGAAATGGCAGGATTCGGCAAGTGAAATCATTCAAGTCCCGCTTCATTCTGTGTGTCTGTGGGCTCGCTATGTAACTTCCCTGAGCCTCAGTTTCCGCATCTGTGAAATGGGGATAGTGAAGAGGACCAACTTTTAGAGGACTTCAGTGAAACAGTGCACAGTGCCTGGCATGCAGTCAGTACTTAATAACTGGGAACTGTTTAGTGTTAACCTCTGCTGGGTCCCTTCCTCACTGCCATGTGCTTATGTTGACTCATCTGGGTTTCCCTAGCAGCCAGTAACCCCTGTAGACAGGCTCCAGGTCTTGGCTGGAGCAGCGAGGGTGCTCCATCCCTCGGATCACTCAGGGAGAGGGTCTTGTGCTGAGGCTTCACTCGCCCAGAGCCTGGACACCAGCATCTGCTGGAATTTATAAAATCATTTCATCTTCATCATCTCTGTTTGCACAGCTACCTGCTACCTATGGCCAATAGTCCAGGCTTTCCACTGTGATAGATGTGTTCTGAGTCCTTTAAGAATTTTTTTTTTGGTTTAAAAAAAATGTGTTGGTTTCAAGAAAAATATTAAGCAAAGAAAGAGTACCGGAGGAAAAATCTTACGTGATTCAAGTTTGGGAAGGCCTGGAATAGTGTAGAGAGCAGGCCTGGGTAAACATGGTGGGGGGGATCGGGGATGGTGAAATAGGACCCAGATTTTGCAGGGGGACAGAGTGATACTTCAAGGACTTCTACTTACTTAACATCTCCAGGCCTCAGTTTCCTCATCTGCAAAATGTGGGAGGTGATGATGGTGAGAATTCATTGAGGTCAAGCACATGAAAGGCTTGGCACGTCTAACACTCAGGTGTTAATTTTTAGGGTAGGGAGGGGAGCTGAGTGTGATATGGTGTCCTGGATTGGGTCCTGGAACAGAAAAAAGGGCATTCGTGGAAAAACGGGGGAAATCCGAATAAAGTCTGGAGTGTATGTAGTTATAATAATGTACTGATATTAAGGGCTTAGTTTTGACAAAAGCTAAGTCACGGGAGATGTTAGCATTAGGGGAAGCCGGGTGAAGCGTGTGCGGGACCCTCTGTACTATTTTTGCGACTCTTCTGTCAATCCCAAATGTCTCCAAAATAAAGTTTAT